AGTCCCTTTAAGAATACATTAAATACTGGCATTGGAACACAACTACACCTTTAGGCAGACCTTTAATAGTCTCAAGGGTAAAGGCACCAGCTGGTTCAGCACTTAGCCCAGTCGTGGCCAACCTGTGGCCCCTGGGCCGGAAGTGGCCCTTGGGGCCCTCAAGAAGCAATCCCCTGAACATTCTCACGAGTCTCTGTAAGTTTGTTTTCGATGTAAGTTGGTTTCAGTTTTTCTCTTGCTTAAAAATTCTTGATTTATGGCATTAATCAAGAAATATTCAATCCCCCAAAATATTTTCTTGGCCAACCATGAACATTGGCCACAGATTGGATGACTGCAGGATCAAATCTTGGTCTATGCTGAGTTAATTGATCTCAACAGGGACAGCAGTTGAGCTGTTACAATTGGCTTCAACAGCCAGGATTAGGAAGGATGAAATCAGCCAGGATTCCTGCTTATGATTGCTATCAGAGACTCCTGTTAAAGGTGCTCATGGGTTGGCATTGTAATGCCTCCCCTATTGATCATGCAAGGATTATTACTATTACACTCTATAGCCTTCCAACACACATGATACTTGGGACAGATACTGGGAGCATCCAATATCCTTGGAAATATATCAAGTAGAAAGAAAATAAGAGTCAAATGTCTTCAAAGGGAAAAAAGAATGAATTTATTGCTCACAATAAATTGCTAGCTGCCAACCAATTAGATTGCATAATTTTCAGATACTGTCCACTACTCCCTGTAGAGCAATTGAATAAATCTAAACACTGATATCACCTTTAACATTAGTAGATAGTTATGGCTATCGAGCAGTCACTTAGGCCCAATAGATTTGAAGATTTGGAATTCAGTTTAAATGTGTTTTGTGGATGTCAGCCAGGCTCAGTTGGTATCACTCTCCTCTGTGACAGAAAGTTGTGGTTTCAAATCCCACATTAGGACACATAGTCTGCAAATCTATGCAAATAGTCCCCCAGTACTCCAGTGAATACTGCATTGTCAGAGGTAATGTCCTTTGAATGAGACGTAATACTGAGATCCTCCTGTATCAGGAACGAAGAACTACTAGCAAACAAGCAATTCAACCTCAATTATAGGAACATGGCTATACATTTCTCAAGGCATTTGCCTGAAGACAGTTGTCATAAAATTTAGTGATGTGCAGGAATTAGGAAAATGTTTAAATTCTATAAAGATTTCCAAAAGAGAACTGCAGAAAATATGCTTCAAATTAAGACTACAAATAAGACTTTTCAGAATTCTGCACTGTATGACAGGGAAATTTCCATGTGTAAGTCACATACATATGTGGGATTCTCAGTCTGGATTTAAACTCTGAAGTATGGTAATGGGTTTCTGTATGTGTTGGAAACCCGGATGACCAGAAAAAAGACCATGAGCAATTTCAACATCAGAAAAATGAAAAAAAAATGATAACTCCCACTGCTTTGTCCCAACAATCCATCCTAACCTTGCCCTCAAAAGAAGATCTCTACCATGCAACAATGAAAACACAGTACAGTGGAATCTGCTTTTGCGGGACAGTGGTTAACCCTGGACGTCGAGTAAATCGACCAAAGCTCTATTTTCACTTTCCAGACTTCTAGCCTCTTTGGGTGAGGCAGGATGACAGAAATTAGTTTGTGTGCATCGACCTGTTGTGTACATTTTCAGCTCCTGTAGTATGAGAGATCTGAAGGCGTTGCTAATTCATCTATGGTTTTCTACAACAACAACAGCATTTATATAGCACCCTTCACACAGAGTAGCGTCCCTGAATGCCTAACTGTGCACAATCACTGATGGTGAAACAGAGGGCATGAGGGACAAATAGGAGGCCGGAGCCAGCCGAGCGAAGGCAGGGGGTGATGGAGTGGAGGTGATGGAGCGGGTCGGATAGATAGGGAGGTGCAAAGGCATGAAGTGATTTGAAAACGAGATTCTAAGAATATTAGACCACAGGAGTGACAATCCAATGTCTTCAGCTACTCTAACACCACGGTTCCTACTTTATAGTTTGTTTTCCAACAATTATGAGTATTCTTTATGGTGGCTCATGCTGAGTATGGTAGAAACAGTCTGGTATAGATGCTGTATTGAAAATGACAGTATTGGTGGATCCTAGATATATCACCATGGGAACACGACTATGATAATGCCATTTTATTACAACAGCAATGGGTACTAGAAAAAGGATATTAAAGCAACCTCTAATGTCATACCAAACATTGTTCACAACTATTGATTGCTTTAAAGAAAAAGAAAACATTTGGGAATACTGTACAGGAAAAAATGGAGTGTTTCCTGCCTCTCCTCATTCAAGGCACATCTCAAAACATCTTTGACTGCACTTTTGGTCATTTTGAACTACCTCTCCACCTCCCCTCGATTCCCACCTCAATCCAGGTCTGTCAAGCACTTTGTGATGTCCTTGCGACATGAAAGATGCTTTGCAAATGTAAATTGTATTGTACCTGTATTGCATTGCTGTATAATCCATCACATAGTGGCATGTGAATCACCAAATCAATCATTTTCCTATTCCTCCTAAGAACCGCAATGTTTGTGGGGGTGAGACTGTAGTGTGTGGGGATGTAGTGTCTATGTGACAGGTGTTGCAGTGTGTATAAGGGGTATTGTATTTGAGGAGTTTGTAGTGTTTGTGAGGACTACTGTGTGTGAGGGGATTACAGTATGTAATGTGGAGGGAGGTGCAGGGTGTGTGTATGGGGGGGGGGGGTGTAATGTGTGGGAGGTGTTGCAGTATTAATGCATGGGGGTAGGTGAGGGGGGGGTACAGTTTATGCGTGAGGAGGTGGTTGTGGTGTGTATATATGGGGGAGGGAGTCAATTACAGTCCAGCCCCTGCCACACTGGGGGGTGTGTGTGTGTGTGGGGAGGGGGGAGTTACAGACTGGCAGCAGTTAAAACATTTGAGACAGTGGTAACTGCATACCATTCAGCCTCACTTTCCCTTCCTCTGGTTTTACTTATGCTTCATTCTCACGGTTCCCAGGAGAACAGATCCAAATTCCTCAATCTTTGCTCATAACTTGGATTCCCAACGTAAGGAGCAGGAACAAGCCCCTGGTTCCCCAATTGCCGCATCCTCTCCAGGGCAATAATAATAGAAACAGCGTATAAACAGTGCAGAAACTGTTTACATCTCTCTCTCTCTCTCTCTCACACACACACACATACACACAAAGGATTTACCAGCTACTTTGCTGATGGTTTGTGACAACCCAGTTTGTGTGAGTGTGTGTGTGTGTGTGGGGGGGGGGGGGGGGGGGGGAGAGCTGCAATGCAGTGAGCACTTTCCTCCTTGAGAGGGCGATGCATTAAAACATTTCCCCAACACCCCCCCACTGGTTGCAAGTTTCATTGAGATGTAAGTCCATCCCTCTCTGACGTTGCCTGAGGGGCTGAAAACCACAGATCTACCTCCTCCCCCCCCCACCCCCACACCACCCACCCCCCCCCCCCCCACACACACACACAAAATGACATTTTGAAGGGAGTCAGGAGACATGGACTTGCAAAGCCACACTCACATCGTCCACAAGCGGCTCTGAGACTAACCAGCAAAGAGGGATCGCCATCAAACTGGCTCACCATTTGCTCAGGGACCAAACCAGAAGTGAAAGAGTTGTCCTGTTATTTTAATTGCAAGAGTTTGAAGCGTTGTGGAGGGGAGGGGGAGGGTGGTAGAGGAGGAGGAGGAGGAGGGGAGGGGGTTGGGGGGTGTCGGATCGCGGTGGGAATTTGCTGCTGGGGATCTGTTTCCAATTACATGGAAAGTTTATCGATATTCCTCCACAGTGAGGAAGGAGCTGCTGTGAAAAAATACAGCAGGAAAATGGAGCAGCGTGTTTAGCAATTTCCACAACACCAGGCACAGGATTGGCACTCAGTTACTTTGAGGTGGGCTCGTCTGTGTGTATATATATATATATATAGTGTATATATATATATAGTGCATCTATATATGGTGTGTATGTATATATATATATAGTGTGTGTGTGTGTGTGTGCATAAACCCCAGGATTATTGCATCTTCTTTTAAATTGAGGGCAATCCGGATGGGAACTGATTTGTTGCGTTGTTCACCATCATAAGTGCCTTGACGTTGGTCAGATTTGGTAGCAGATTGCATTTGAGAGAGAGAGAGAGAGAGAGAGAGGAGTGGGTAGGAGAGAGATTCTGAATATATATATATATATGTGTGTGTGTGTTTTGTGTGCTAAATGCAAGTAATAATCGTGTTTTATTAGAAAACGATTCTTGTGGAGTTCAAGCTCTTGGGGGGGAGGGGAGTGTCAAACCAGAATCGTGGTTGTGTTTGGACTGTGATTCTGTTCTGTTGTAGTATCAGATAATTCAGTGATCTGAAACCCATCAGCAAAAGCTACTTTGTGTTGTTGTTGTTGTTGTTGAGGCAAAATCGTCAAGGAGGTCTGGTTTGTGTGTTGAGAGGAGAGTGGGGGGGGGAGAGAGAGAGAGAGAGAGAGAGAGAAGAGAGAGAGAGAGAGATACATTTGTGTCTGTGCTGGATTTGCGGGGTTGGATGACTTGAAGTTGTTCAGTAAAGAGGAGTGTGTCTGGGAGTGAGCAGAGCAGAGCAGAGCAGAGCAGGTCAGTCAGTCAGTCAGGGAGTGTTGGGACTTTTCAGATGAATTAAATGCCTCAGAGCCAGCCCCCAGCCCCCAGCCCCCGGCAGGTTGTGTGCAACCCCTGGCCATTGCATTGACCTGTTTTATGCACGTCTACATATATATTATATATAAAAAAAATAAGAGAGGACGAGATTAGTTGAGCATGTCGGAAGAGAACCGAACCCATCGCCTGGGATTCTGCTCACTTCAGGGAGGGAGGGAGGGAGGAGGGGGTGTGATACAATGTAACGTCATGTAAGAAGCAATTACCCCCCACACACACACACACACCCCCAACACCCCCCCCCCCCCCCCCTCACACACACACACCCACACACCCACCCACCACCACCTCTTCTTAAAGAAAAAGAAAGATTAGGCGTTTGGACGATGGACGAATCTTCGCTGCTGGATCTGCTGGAGTGCTCCGTGTGTCTGGAGAGGTTGGACACCACCGCCAAGGTGCTGCCCTGCCAGCACACCTTCTGCAAGCGCTGCCTGGAGAAGATCCTCAGCTCCAGGAACGAGCTGAGGTGCCCCGAGTGCAGGATCCTGGTGGGCTGCGGGGTGGACGAGCTGCCGCCCAACATCCTGCTGGTCAGGTTGTTGGATGGGATTAAACAGAGACCCAGGAACGGCAGCAGGTCAGGGCCGATCTGTGCCCCAGGGTCAGCAGCAGCCTGCCCGGCTTCATCATCATCATCATCCCCCTCCTCCTCCTCCTCCTCCCCCTCCTCCTCTCTGGGGACAACTCTCAAGGATCACCCGGCAGCAGCGACCAGAGCATCCCCAGGAAAGGTATGTGTGGCTTATATAATCTCCATGTGTGTGTGTGTGTGTGTATTGTATTGCATGTGTGTGTGTGTCTCTCTCTCTCTCTGTGTATTGTATTGCATGTGTGTGTGTCTCTCTCTCTCTCTCTGTGTATTGTATTGCATGTGTGTGTGTCTCTCTGTGTGTGTGTGTATTGTATTGCATGTGTGTGTGTCTCTCTCTGTGTGTGTGTGTATTGTATTGCATGTGTGTGTGTCTCTCTCTGTGTGTGTATTGTATTGCATGTGTGTGTGTCTCTCTGTGTGTGTGTGTGTGTGTGTTTCATTTCAGATCTCTGCACTTAACGTTTCAGGGAATTGTGTGACCTGTGCCTTGAGGGGCTTGAGTCATTATTATTCCCTCTTGGGAAGGGCAAGGGAAAGGGGGGAGTTTGCACATTTTTGGAATATTTCACAATTTCGAACAGGCTCTACTGTTGAGCCTCCCCTTACAATTGATTGACTCATTCAAAGATGTTGGTTAAGCCCCTTGCTGTCAGCAGTGGATCTCATCTCTCTGCACTCCACCCTCATGTCGTCAGATATTCTCCCCTATCCCTTCACTCAATGTATTCACCTTCAGCCCGATAGTGTTTCAATACTGCGTTTCTTTTTATATATATATATACATACAAAGACTCGCCTGAGTTAAAGTGGCACCACTATCCCTTGTTAAATTGATATACTTGTCAGTACTGCAGTCTGTACAGATTTATACTCCGGTAACCACGTCTCTCTGGATTGATGTCGATTTTCTAGCAGGTCGAACGGAAAATTGCAATTTGGTGGATATTTTTTAAATTGATGAGAAGGTTTCAATGAACGGGTGCATTGGAGCTTCATACTGGATCATGATAAAGTGTTATGATTGACAGGGAAATGTGCGACTGAATACAGGTCATTGATCCCTTTCACTCGAGGGAACCCCAGATGTGTTCCAAAGAAACCTGGATGAAAGAAGAGAAATAGTCACAAGATAAAGTGTACACAGGATTGTGTGCAAAGGACTAATTTAACTTTGCACAAACCTTTATGTCCTTAAAATCAGCAACATTGTGTGCAATGAATTGCATTGGAGTGCACTGCATATGGTCTTATTAGTATCTGTGAACCAAGCTTTCAGAAATGCACAAACTAGAAGCCCTAAAACAGCTGAATGTCCACACCCTATGCTCTAACCCACATGATGCCCATCTGATTTTAACCTTATATATTCCTTGTTGTAGATCAGTAAAACATTGCTTTCCACTGTCAGCCAACTTGGTGTAGACTGCATGAGGTTAGGACATGGAGCATGGCTTGTAAACAGTCTTTTGGCTGTCTTAGGAATTTTAATTGGTGAAATTACTTACAAATTGATTCCTGTTTATGAATAAATGGGATTTAAAATTAACATGATAAGCTTCCACTATATATGAATATGTAAAAGTGTTTAAAATCTGATGTTCAGAGTCCATTTACACACCACACAACTCTCATTCTTGAATATTTATTTTTTGTTGAATATTTATTTTTTGACTATTAGAAGTAAGGAATCTCAGCAATATGAATGAAGCTGCACATCAATTTCATCCTTGAATTGCAGGGCGCGTAATTTTTGGTGACCGAGCTGAGAGCATCTGTTTCTAGAGCTTGTGATGTTTGGGCCATCCTGGCAACAGATGCATTTCATTGTACATGTCATCTGAGTCGTAGAGAGCAGATTGCCATGTCTGCAGGGATATTCAGACACCTGCCTTTGCTGTATTTAATTACTGAGCACTAATTTGATGTTTAATCTGATTTTACTCTTATATGTTTCTAACGGTGGACAGATGAGCATTTGCATTCCACTGTTTTTTCAAATTGTAGTTTGAAAATATATTCCTATTGCTGCCTTATTTGTTCCTTTCTACTCTATCATTGGCTGCTGCGATTCGCCTGCAATACAGTCAGTGCACTTTACAGTATATTCTGTGAAGCGCCTTTGAGATGTCTCAAAGATGTGATAAGGCGCTATATCAAAAGCAAAGATTATTATTATTATTTGTGTCTTCCAAATTCTTTTGAAAATTCTTTCTGCCATAGTCTGTGGTTTCCCTAACGTAAGGAAGGCGGGTTTAATTTGTTAAACTTATCCATGTTTATGTCTTGTGAGAAGATTAGCAGTTCTGTAATATGCAGTCTCAGTTGTTCATTGCTAGAATCATAGAAAGTGTACAACATAAAATAAGACCATTTGCCTGATTGTGTCTGTGCTCATCCTAGCTCCTCCACTGGAACTATCTACTGTAATCCCATGTTCCTGAATTTTCCCGATAACCTTCAAATATTTTTCTCCCAGGACTTACCAAATTCCCTTATAAATGTTGTTACAGTCATGACTTCAACATCCATTTGTGGTATTTTGTTTATATTCCACAAAAATGTCTTTGTTTACAATGTAATAACATGCCTTGCAAAATCGATGTACCATTGCAACACTACATTTCAGAGTATATTGATGGGCTGTATCTAATATCATCGCTCTTCTGCAAAGCAAGCCTTAGCTTACCATAATGGAGGGTGCAAATCAGTTCAGTACCATAAAATGCTAACATTCCTCAGCCCTTTTGTGAGAGAGATCTTTATTACCAGGATGGTTCATAGGTAAATTAACAGATAACTGTTACCAGTTCATCATCGCTACGAACATAAACAGTGGGATAAACTTGATCTTTACAAAGATGAGTAACCATGCCAAAGTTTTAATAAATACTTGTGTAATTCCATAACAGTTCTGTTTCCTTACTCAACCTTGATTTAAATGGTCACTTTACAGTATTTGAGACTGATACACTAAAGTGTTTTAACATCTACCCTTAGGGTATTAATGCTTACTTTTTCATCTACTGTATTAACAAGACACTTGTGACCAGACCAGCGTTACAGTGACTTTGTTGGTGAATCATTACCCATCAATTTGATTTTAATATCTGGATGCAACCAGCATCTCTGGGCCCCTTGTGGGTTGCTGGAATTAGTTCTGCAAAAGAAAATCATGAATGGCCTTCCGAAGGACTGTCTATTGATGACATGTCCTTTCAGCTGAGCAGAGAATCTTCCCATCCCCCACTCGCTCCCCCTCCCCCGATTCACATAACAGAAGAATTGCTTGTATTATGGATACATATAGAAGCTCTTCCTTACACAAAACTTCATCCTCTTCAGTATCACATACTGTTTTCTTTTGTCCTGTCTTGAATAACTTGGTCTAGTCACCCTATGCATTGATGCTTACCTATTCAATATGCCAATATGTAATATTTATCTGTAAATAATTCGACAGTTCTCTGATATGTCATCACCACTGTGTGACGCCCATCCCCCTCCTCCAGCAGGCTGTCTTGACTCTTAGACAAAGAGTGTCTCCTCATCAAATACTTCAGAGTGACTACTGCTTGTGATCCTCACACTGACCCCAGATACCCTCGAACAGCAGTGTGGGCTGGCTGACAGCAATGGTGTGTCTGTCTTGCACTGGTTTGATTCATCTGTCCACTGGTGAATTTCCTGAAATTAATGATCATAAATTCCACCTTCGTTTCTGTGTTTACAATTATTTGTTTGCAATTAATTCAAACCAAACAGACCGTGGATTAATTGTGATGTTGTCAGGAAATAGGATCTAGATTGTTCGAGGTTTTGAATTAATAAGATCATTATCCTGGGGCATATGTAGGTCAAGGCTTTAGGGGGTGAATATCAAGATGCTGGTGACAAAACAGGTTTTCTCACTTTGTGTATCATTTGCTTTGGAGCTACAGTTATATGATTCCATGTAGTTTTGTTAGGTTGTGATGATGCCTTCAGCAGCTAACAGAGCTTTTCAGGGCAGGGCAAGAAGGCCATATGTTAATTTAGAGTCCAGCAGAAATCAGTGCCAACATCCCAATTTTAAGCACAGGTTTATGTTTAATCAGTTTTCTTACCACCTTTGATGCAGTAAAAGATCAAATGGTGCTGAATAATCTGAGTAATGCAAGTGGATTCTGATCAAATTAAATGTGCAATGAATATTACAGAACTAATGCATTAAAATCGCATTCAATTCTGTCTGATGTCAGTCTGGCTCAGTTGGTGGAACTCTTGCCTCTGAGTCATAAGAGTATGTGTTACCATCCCTACTGCAAGACTTTGAACTCACAATGTAGACTACCACTCCAGTATAGCACTGGGAGAGCCCTGCATTGTTCGAGGTGCTATTCTTCAGATGTGATGTTAAACTAAAGTCCCATTTCCCTGTTTAGATGGACATTAAAGATCCCACAGCACTATTCAAAAAGAGAAGGGAGTTTCTTTCAGTGCCCTGACCAAGAGGATAAAATTGGTCTCTCAGTTCATGGGTGTTTGTGGGATGTTGATGTGTGTAAATTGGCTGCCACATTCTCTGACAAAATACACAATCACAACATTTTACAGTAAGTTTCTTTGAGACGTTCTCCTGAAGTGAGAGGTGCTATATCAAATGCAAGAATTATTATTGTTGTTATTATTGTTATTATTATTAACAACAAAGATTAATGTTATTGTTGTTATTGATGTTATTATTGTTATTGTTGTTATTATTTATTATTGTTATTATAATAATTATTATTATTATTGTACAGCATTGTATAAATCATCAAGGTATAACTTATTTTTTGTCCTTGCTGTTGAAGTCTGTAGTAGAGAACACAATACATCCTGCTGCAATTTTATTTTTTGAAGTCATTTCTGGTGCCAAAATGATTTAAAACCATTTTAACTGACCAAATATACTGTGACATTGATGCTGTTTTGCAGCTGAGCAGTGGTTGTACATGATGTGAAGAGACTTAAATCGATAACCATATCAAGGAACTACAGAGTGTGGACTTGGCTATGCTGTTCTGGGTGCCTGACTGTCATGTTGCTGGTTTTGTTTTTAATGCTATTCAGAACAATTTTGATGTCGAGGTTGTCTTAAAAAAGAATTTCTGTTATGTG